CCCCCCGTCTCTCTCTCTCTCTGTCTCCTCCTGCCTCTCTCTCTCTGCCCCCGTCTCTCTCTCTCCCTGTCTCTCTCTCTCTCCTCCCCGTCTCTCTCTCTCTCCTCCCCGTCTCTCTCTCTCTCTCTCCCTGTCTCCCTGTCTCTCTCTCTCTCCCCCTCTCTCTCTCTCTCTCTCTCTCCCCTCTCTCTCTCGCTACCTGTCACTGTCTCTCACTCAATGTCTCTCCGTGTCTCTCACTTTCTCTATCAATCTCTCACTGCCTCTATCTCTAAATATATATGTGTATCTCCCTGTGTCTTACTGTCTGTCTATCTCTCTGTCTACCTCTGCCTCTCACTCTCTCTCTGTCCCTGTCTTTCTCTCAGTCTCTGCGTCTCTCCGTCCCTCACTCTATCTCTCTCTCTGTCTCTCCCTGTCTCTCATCCCTCTTTATCGATCTCTCCGTCCCCCTCTCTCTATGTATATTTTAATATATATTATATCTCCCTCTGTCTCCCTGTCTTTCAATCTCTCTCTGTCTATTCCTCCCTATTTCTTTCTCTCTGTCTATCTCTCCCTTTCTCTCACTCTGTCTCTCTGTACTTTTCCAGGTCTCTGACTCTGTCTCTCTATATTTATATCTCTCTGTCTCTCACTCTATCAATCTCTCCCTGCCTGCCTCTCTCTCCCTGTCTCTCTCTCCCTGTCTCTCTCTCTGTCGCTCTAGCACTCGCTGTTTCTCTCTCTCATCACCCCCCTCTCTCTCTATCCCTCCCTGTCTCTCTGTCTCTCTCTGTCTCTGTCTGTCTCTCTCTCTCTCTATCTCTCCCGGTCTCTCTCTTTCTTTCTCTCACTTTCTCTCCATCTCTCTCTCCCTGTTTCCCCCCCTCTCTCTCTCTATATATCTATTAATCTCTCCGTGCCCATCTCACACTCTCTCTTTATCTGTCTCTCCATGTCACTCTCTCTCAATCTGTATCCTTCTGGCTCTCTCTCTCTCTCTCTATCCCTCTCTCTCTCTCTCTCTGTGTTTCTCTCTTTCTCTGTATCTGTCTTTCTCTCCCTCTATCTCTCGCCCCCTCTCATTCCCCGTCTCTCTCTCTCTCTCCCCCTCCCTGCCTCTATCTTTGTCTCTTTCTCTCTCCATCTCTCCCTGTCTCTCTCGCTCTCCCTGTCTCTCTCTCTCTCTCCCTCCATGTCTCTCTCTCTCCCCGTCCCTGTCTCTCCGTCCCTGTCTCTCCGTCCCTGTCTCTCCGTCCCTGTCTCTCCGTCCCTGTCTCTCCGTCCCTGTCTCTCCGTCCCTGTCTCTCCGTCCCTGTCTCTCCGTCCCTGTCTCCTTCCCTGTTCCTGTCTCTCTCTCTCCCTCTGTTTCTCTGTCTCTCTTTCTCTCCCCCGTCTCTCTCTCTGCCTCTCTCTCTGTCTCTCTCTTTCTTTCACTCACTGTCTCTCCTTCTCTCTATCCCTGTTTTCCCCCCTTGCCTCTCTCTGACTCTATATATCTGTATATTTCTCCCTGCCTGTCTCACACTCTCTCTTTATCTGTCTATCCCTGTCACACTCTCTCAATCTGTATCACTCTCTCTATATCTTCCTCTTTCTGTCTGCCCCACCCTCTCCCTTACAATCTCTATCTCCATATCCATCTCTCCCTGTCTCTCTCTCTCTACCTCTCGCTTTCTCTCTGTATCTCTCTATCTCTCCGTGTTTTTCACTCTGGCCCTCCCTGTCGCTCACTCTCTCCCTCGCTCTTTCTATCTCTTCCTGTCTCTATATCTATCTCTCCTTGTGTCTGACTCTCTCTATTTCTATATCTCTCTGTCTCTCATACTCTCTTTCCCTCTCTCTCT